TAAAAGAGTAAAAGCAACAAACACCTAAAGGAGTTTAATGCCATAGAGATATAAAGATATAGAGAGCTTATTCTCCTTCAATAGCAGAAAACATCGTTCAGCTGTCGCCGCGGCCCAATATAAACAAAGTAATTTTCTAATTACGTCATCGTAAGTGATTATAGAGATAGCAAGATTTGTTTATTTCTTTAAGCTTTAAATCAAATATAGAGATAATAAAAGATCTATAATAAATTAAAATATCCTAAAAAGCCCACAAGAAATGTATTTATGCCCCTTTGGGAAGAAAAAAAAAAGTCATTTTTACCTTTTCGATATGAACCAAAGATCTACTATTTTTAAAATATTTCAGGTAAAGTTTACAGTTTGCTATATATAATTGAAAAAGGGATATAAATTGCTATGTACAGCCTGAAATATGAATTTATACTTGGATGTCTATCTAAGCACATATATAGGCCAATAACTTTGTTTATGGCCTTTGGAGAAAAAATCAAACGTGGTTAAAACTGTTTTGATATTATTATACAAAACTGTGGGTAATACAGGGTTAAAAAATATGTTCACGACATAAACTTGATTTAATCATACTAAATATCTTAAATCTTCCTTTTTGTACGAATTGAAAATAATTAAGAGGTTTTTTGATATTTTTTCAAACATTTTAGATATTATTTGATATATTCAACACTTTTTTATCCAAAAAAATTGCATGTGCGATTGGTGGCGAATTGTCCAATCAAATATACCATTAAATGAATGGGTCTCATCGAATTAAGGTTTTTAAGGTCGAACGGAGATTATTGTGATACTAAATACATTATTACTATATTTTGATAAAAATACATAATGCTTAATCCAGAGATATTGATTTCCATTCATCACATATTTCCAGATTAATTATTTACGGGTCATGAAATAAATGATGCATGTGACTCCACAAACAATTAACTAATTTTTGGGCATGAGCGGACCAAAGTGAGTTCTTTTAATCAAATGTAAAACTCGTTTGAGTATTGATTAATTATTTTCAGAGTGAAAAAATTTCCGCAGTTGGCAGGGATTCGAACTGCGCGGGAATAGCCCATCTGATTTCGAGTCAGACGCCTTAACCATCGGCCACAAATGACAGATACACGGATTGAGAAAAAGTTATTAATAAAAGAAAATATTTAAAAACTTAATTTTATTCTATTTTTTACACCACCATTTGACTATATGGCAAACTTGCTACACTAACATACTAACAAAAAGATACATATAATTGGTATGTCATTTTCATTCGAAAACATGAAAATTATAAAGTTTATAATATATTTATGATGTTTATTCATTTATATTTGAGTAATTGTCGAGATATTAATATTTTCTGTATTTTATATTTTTAATCATTACTGATAGTTGTGCTCTATTAATTTATTCTGCAATATTTCTATATATAAAGTCTTAGTAGTTAGTAACATTTAGTAATGTTATTCAACTCGCTTACGTCATCAAAAATTGATTTCTACATATATTTTCGATGACTTGAACAATAATATTATTTTGATGTTTCACTATTAACGAAGACATGAAATAAATATACACTGAAAGCTGTCCAGAGCGGCTAAACAAAGAAATCCCAAAAGTTGCCTTTAGAGACAGATGGCCACTATATACATAAGTTTTTGATGCCCGTTATAGACAAGTGACTGCTAAACACAGGTTCGTGTGTTATTTCTATATACCTTTGCAAAATCCAGTTTAATAGTTCCTCATTTTTGGGAACTTGTGATACATAAGCAGAGTTGGTCGAATATTACTTTGAAAGTACTACTTTCAAAGTAGTAAGTAATATACTACTTTTTACTGCGTAGTAATATTTTTTGAAAAATATTCGTTATTACTTCTCAAAAGTAATATACTACTTTGAGTAATATACGACTTTTTTGAGCATTCCGAAACAATAAGTAAAGGCAGTTCAACATGATTTGTAAAAATCCTCACCAAACCTAGTTTGCATTTTTATAATAATCCTATACTAGCCCATTGCCGCTCCGCGGCTTTGCTAGGCCCTCCGGGGGGTGGGTGGCCTACGGCCACAGCATTATAATGGTAACATATCTATGGATAATATGTTGAGGCAAGGATTGAACCTTGCATCAAACAATGAAGTTTTTAAGCTTCGTCCATGAATTTGGACTAATATTCAATCCCGGATTTGAGGCTCTTAATGACCTCGGATCCGGATACTGAATACATCAAAGTTGCTCCTGGTCAATTTTGAATATGATTGTGCAAAAATATATTGCGAAAACTTGCAATTGAAAAAAATCGGATCCCGGCCCAAATATGTCCCGGAGGCCGGACATTGATTTAACCAACCAAGGCTTATTTGCAAGGCCTCATTTCGTATGTTTTGTTTTGAACTTTTTTTCGTATTAAAAAGTCGCCCCAGAGGTTTTCTTGAATTTCCAGACAGGCCGGTCCGGTTTTCCGGGAAATTTCTTTGGGACCCGATTGTAAATCCTATTCTTGATGTACTTTCAGAGTAGCTTTTTTCGAAATGGGAAAGAATCAAAAGTTAAGGAAATGTCATAATCCGGGTCCGGGAGTGTCTGGATCCGGATTTTTTTCCGGATCCAGGTTCTTTGTGCAGAGATGCAGATAACTTTTAGTTTGCGTTCTGTCTCTAAAACGTCTCACTTACGAACTATGGACAACCAAAGTTTCCAAGCCTTTTTTAAGGCCTTTGCAAGACCGCTAGACCTTAGTCTTGTAAATACTAAAAGATGCCTACGGCTAAAGTCCACAAAACATCTAATTACATCCCGAGCCTCCTAACCCTCAAAAATCGATACAAACCGCAAAATCCTCTCACAGACGCAAATCTGGTCTGATCAGAACCTAACCTAGCCCAAGACCATCACATGGTCAAGATGCATGTGTGTGCCAAATTTCAGTTCTCTAGCTTCTGTAGTTTCGGCGTCTATAGAAGTCGGACAGACAGACGGACAAATCAAATTCTAATATTAAGATAGATATGATATTGTAATATTATAAAGTGAGCACATGGCTCTAACATGATACAGTCGGTGAATTCAAAGACTAAAAAAATGAATTCTTACATTATGAGAGGCATAGGTTTAATTATACCAACCCAAGCCCTCGGGCCCCGCATGTAGATTGAGGCTTTTAGGGTTGAAACCCACCGTCAACCCTAATTAAGTATGAGAGGAACCCTAATTTACAATATTATACACCCAAGCCTCGGGTCCCGCCTGCTGTTGGCTTTTATACCTAGCCAGAGTTGGCGGTGAGTTTCAACCCTAAATAAAAATGCCTATATCAGCAGGCGGGATCCGAAGGCTTGGGGTGTATAATATTGTAAATAGGTTTCCTCTCATTCATAATTAGGGTTGGCGGTGGGTTTCAATCCTAAAAGCCTCAATCGACATGCGGGCCGAGGGCTTTGAGGAACTTATTTTCTTTACGATAAAATTCTCCATAAATAACGAAAAGGTTGTTATGTGTGTTTGGGTCTAATGGAATCCCCTGTCTTAAATATCAATATTGACGTGCATTTTTAATTTTATTAATAAGCAGTATTATGTCCATTGGGTGACGTCACATACATTCACAGATCATAAATTTTCATCAAAAATGCCTGTCGAATATTTTTTTCACTAAAGTAATATGTAACTAGGATATTACATATTAGTTATTACTTGAAAGTAATATAATATGTTTGTTCTTTCTAGTTATTGCGCAGTAATATCACAAAGTAATATATTACTCGCACGCGCGTTAGGGAACAACACTGCATATTAGTTATTACTTGAAAGTAATATCTAATATGTTTGTTCTTTTAGATACTACGCAGTAATATCACTAAGTAATATTACTCGCACGCGCGTTAGGGAACAACACTGTACATAAGTGATAAACGAGAACTTTTAAATACTAAACAATTTAGATTAAAAAAATATATTTGCTATAAATATCATTATTATCTCTTTTCTATCTGCTATTAATATATCTTTCAATTTTCACATGAGGATTTAATGAAGCACGCCATTACTTTTTTTCCCCCTTTTCAGCTATCCCATTATCAGAGAGACATGCTCGGGCAGAAGAGTCCGCGGATAAGCCTTTCAGCTCTCTCTCGAAAGCAAGTTTGAGTGTCAGACCTGCCTACGATACAGCGTTCGACGAACCAAGGAGTACGTCATTCACTTGAGCGGCTCAGAGGCACCCCGATCCACATTCAAGGACTCTCTTCGCAACTACCTCTTCCATCAAAACTGCATTTGTGGGGTCCGGAAACGAAGTCAGTCCCACGTTGAGGAACCCGGAGCTCAAATACCTATTCGTGGAGATTGATCGCTCCATTCAAATCTCTCGGACTCTCAAGGACATTCATCTCTATCCACTCTGTCTCGAAAGGAATTTACTGATGGGAAGGATCTCTTTGGGGGAGATGTGTTTGAGGTCTATGGGGCCGTGAGTTACCTCATCGAGAGGATAAACGGGGGACACTACTGAGACGCGGTTCTTTTCGCCCAAGAGGTGGTCGAGTCCACCATGTTGACGTTCATGAGTTATCCCTTAAGGAGTCCAGAATGAAGCCGGATTTCGACTCGGATGTCGTTATTGTTGCCTCTTAAAAGAGTCAAACCTGCGAAATGATGATGGGCTACTATATAATAATCCTGATTAATACCTCAAAAACCTTTGAAAGGTTAATTTTATGTTATAAAGTCAGAACACTTCAATAAGTGTATTAAAAAAACTACATTTAACGGAAATAAAATATATATTATTTATCATTACCTCAATTCATAAAATATATAATTAAAATATTCATTTATATTTACAGCAATTAAGGTCAAAATATTATAGATGTTGCTGACTTATAAGTAATGTTTTTTATATTAACTATACAGTATAAATATATGATTCAGTATAAAAATCGAACACCTTGGTCGTGTTGTACCTATCATAAGATTTTAAATGATATTTATATATTTAAGATTAAGAAAAAAGCTTTTAAATAATATTTTTAAGTTATTAGTCTGTGTCGTTTTTCTAAATCAAGCTGAATTTTGTTGTATCTCAGAAAATAATAGTTTTTCTTTGCAATATTGATAAACACCGGGATATTAGCATTTAAAATCCGTATAAATATTATAAACTGGATACATCTTCTCATTGAAAAATATAACTGAGGGTAAGGCTCAGAAATATTTTATATGTTGAAAAAAATTAATTTAAAAAATATATATTTTAATAAAGGGCTTCATGTATTCTTATTAATATACATCGAATGTATATACACTAAATATCAACGTAATGAATAGCAAAACGTTTCACTCACATAGATTATTCCATTTATTTGGAAGTACTGATTTATCAATTAGCATGCATTATTTTTTATGAATTGTTGGTTCTATTGTAATTAAGAGTATATTTTCGAGTCGGAAACTCAACGTCCCATACATTGGGCCAATTATTATCTTGTAAACCTTTATTACTATAACGGGAATCATAGAGAATATAGCGTGCCGAAGCAATGTATGGGCGAGCTGAATATGGAAATATTCGTTAGCTGTCCCATTGGTGGAGGAAATACAGCGCGATAGCCGTGTGCACTAAGGCTTGTTCAAATCTCAATGTGGGGAACCAAGTTCGAAACTAAGAGGGGATGGTCATTACCTCATTGATAAGATACAACGTTCGATAGACTAATCTTATGCTTATTATACTGTAGGCGGATTGACCTGATTATTAACCGCAAGTCAAGCTACCACTCTTTCTCACACCTCAGCAGGTTCTTAATCTCTTAAGTACTCTTGTCTGCAACTATAAAAGGAGCAGCAGGCAAGAACTGAATAAACACCTCTTTTACTTCATAACTGAGACGTCATTCTCCTCCACCTTCGCGCTACAATACCCTGTCGGATACAATTTTATTGAACTAAAAAGGCAAAAAAACAATTTGAGGATGTATACTATTCATATATCAAATCCTTTATGCCCATAAATTGGAGTGCTTCGTCATCAGGAATATCACAACACTCTCTCATAACAAAGTCTCTCTCTCTCTCTCTTTAATTATTTGTGTCGCTCCTTTCTCCCAAGAATGGAGGA